AACAGAGCAATATAATAACAATTAAAACAATAAGTAAAACATTCATTAAAACAGTAAAAACAGTATTAACAGCTGTTATCACCATTCCAGTCAATTCCATATCCAAAGTGCTATCTATGCCTGTTGTTCAAAAGCCTGGTCCCAGAACCATGACTTCATTTTTTTCCTAAATGACAGGAGAGACGAAGCCGATCTTAATTCGGTGCGAAGCGAGTTCCACAGGCGGGGGGCCACATGAAGCAATTATGTGCGGTCATGTCAGACAGGATCTCATGTAGATGCTTCAGTACATTGTATGTGGAATTCCTCCTAGTTTTGTCTGCAATCTTAAAATTCACATACAGTAGAGTCTCACTTATCCAACCTTCGTTCATCCAATGTAGAATTATAGAATCATAGAGTTGGAAGAGACCTCATGGGCCATCCAGTCCAACCCCCTGCCAAGAAGCAGGAATATTGCATTCAAATCACCCTGACAGATGGCCATCCAGCCTCTGTTTAAAAGCTTCCAAAGAAGGAGCCTCCACCACACTCCGCAGAGAGTTCCACTGCTGAACGGCTCTCACAGTCAGGAAGATCTTCCTCATGTTCAGAAGGAATCTCCTTTCGTGTAGTTTGAAGCCATTGTTCCTCGTCCTAGTCTCCAGGGAAGCAGAAAACAAGCTTGCTCCCTCCTCCCTGTGGCTTCCTCTCACATATTTATACATGGCTATCATATCCCCTCTTAGCCTTCTCTTCTTCAGGCTAAACATGCCCAGCTCTTAAGCCGCTCCTCATAGGGCTTGTTCTCCAGACCCTTTGATCATTTTAGCCCCCCTCCTCTGGACACATTCCAGCTTGTCAATATCTCTCTTGAATTGTGGTGCCCAGAATTGGACACAATATTCCAGGTGTGGTCTAACCAAAGCAGAATAGAGGGGTAGCATTACTTCCCTAGATCTAGACACTATGCTCCTATTGATGCGGGCCAAAATCCCATTGCCTTTTTTTGCTGCCACTTCACATTGTTGGCTCATGTTTAACTTGTTGTTCACAAGGACTCCAAGATCTTTTTCACATGTACTGCTTTTGAGCCAGGCGTGCCCCATTCTGTATCTTTGAATTTCGTTTTTTCTGCCTAAGTGGAGTATCTTGCATTTGTCACTGTTGAACTTCATTTTGTTAGTTTTGGCCCATCTCTCTAATCTGTCAAGATCGTTTTAAATCCTGCTCCTGTCCTCTGGAGTATTGGCTATCCCTCCCAATTTGGTGTCATCTGCAAACTTGATGATCCTGCCTTCTAGCCCTTCATCTAAGTCATTGATAAAGATGTTGAACAGGACCAGGCCCAGGACGGAACCCTGTGGCACTCCGCTCATTACTTCTTTCCAAGATGAAGAGGAAGCTTTGGTGAGCACCCTGTGCTTCCTCTTCACCTTGGAAAGAATATTCTGTATTATCCAACACAGTCTGGCTCCCGACCAAATCCACACCAGTTTCAATACATTGTGATGTTTTGGTGCTAAATTTATACAGTAATTACTACATAACATTACCATGTATTGAACTGCTTTTTTTGTCAATTTGTTGAAAAACATGATGTTTTGGTGCATAATTTGTAAAATCATAATGTAATTTGAATTTAATAGGCTTTTCCTTAATCCCTCTTTATTATCCAACATTTCCACTTATCCAATGTTCAGCTGGCCCATTTAGGTTGGATAAGTGAAACTCTACTGTATCAGTTTTCATTTTGACTGTTGCTTGCTGTACTTTACTTTTAAGTAACGAAGAAGGTCCTTTTGCTTGGAGTTAGAAATTAGGGTTTGTATATCTTGTGGTGGCCTAAAGGCACCAGATCCATTCTGGTTTTGAAAACTAAACAGGGTGAACTCTATTTAGTGTGTGGACAGGAGGCCAACAATGAAATGGTTCTTCAGACAACCTGGGTCTGTCTAACACACAGCAGGTTTTGTAAGTGATTATAATAATAATATAATAACTTTATTCATATATCCTGCCTCCATCTCCCCAAAGAGACTTGGAGCGACTCACATGAGGACCAAGCCCAATATAAACAAGGTAAATGTAAAGGTAAAGGTTTTTCCCTGACATTAAGTCCAGTCATGTCCAACTCTGGGGGTTGGTGCTCATCTCCATTTGTAAGCCGCAGAGCCGGCATTGTCCGTAGACACCTCCAAGGTCATGTGGCCAGCACGACTACATGGGTGCCATTATCTTCCTCCCGGAGCGATACCTATTTGCATGTTTTCAAACTGCAAGGTTGGTAGAAGCTGGGGCTGACAGCGGAAGCTCACATCACTTCCCGGATTCAAACCTGCGACCTTTCGGTCAACAAATTTAGCAGCTCAGTGGTTTAACCCACTGCGCCACCGGGGGTTCCATAAACAAGGTTACAAAGTAATACAATTAAAACATATCACAATCAACTGTATTAAAACAATAAAATCAATAACATCTAAGACATCATAAAACACAACCAAACAACAAACAACTAATAGATGAGAAAAGTAGGCATGTGCAGATATGAGACTAATATGGTAGGACAGGGCTAATGCAATGTAAACTGTAAGGTCAAGGGCTGGGAATAAAGTGCTGCAGATGCTATCAAAAGATGAGGGCTGGGCAGACTTGATCAGTAGCTGAACCATTATTCGAAGGCACGTTGGGACATCCAAGTCTTCAGGTTTTTCTGAAAGATGGACAAAGTGGGGCTAATCTAATCTTCCTGGGGAGAGAGTTCCAGAGCTAGGGAGCCACCACCGAGAAGGCCCTCTCACTCATCCCCACCAACCATGCTTGCAAAGGAGGTGGGAGTGAGAGAAGGGCCTCCCAAGCAGATCTTAGCGCTCATGCTGGTTCATAGAGGGAGATACACTTTCAACGATAAACAGGACCCGAACCGTTTAGGGCCAACCTGCATTTTGAATTGGGCCCAAGAACTTATTGGTTACCAGAACTTTGAAATGTAACTGGAAATGGATGACTAAAAGTGGAGCTGCTGTAACAAAGGAGTTGTATCAGCCTCAGTGAACAATCTGATTGCATCTCTTTGGAGGAATGGAAGTTTCCAAATACTTTCAAAGGCAGCTTTGCATACAACATGTTGCTGTTACCCAAATGTCAAGATCCGACATCACTAGAAATGCACGTGTGCAAAAGCAAGCCTGTCTTATCTTGTTTCTCCAACAAATGTTGCTCGAGGAGGAAATATTACCAATAATAATGTATCGATCAGAAACACAGTGAAGCAACAACAAAATACAAAGAAAAATATAGTCTAAAGATACATGAGTACTAAAACAAAGTAGCCGTGTAGTCTGAATCTGTATGGAAAAGTCTCACTGAAAGATGTTGGTAGTAAAAGTTTTCATTGTCTTAGATCTACTTCATCAAATGCATCATACTGTGCATCTGGTGAAGTAGACTTCAATCTACAGGAGTGATTCCCAACCTGTGGTCCATGGACCACCAGTGGTCAGCAAGAACAAAAATATGGTCTGCCGAGGGGGGAGGCTGACTACCCACGAAAGATTTCTACTACCACATCAGCTCTATATTATTAAATATGGTTTTCTGTGGCCGAGCAGATGGCGACTACTAGATGGCATGTGTTTTGATGTGGTCTATCCAATGCAATTTTCCGAATCAGCACCCCAAATAACCATATTGAATCCAAAGTAGACCAAAAACTGATTCGTAACCCTTTTGGTACTAATGTTGGAGAGTGTTCCCTGGTCAAGTGGTCCCTGGTCAAAGAAAAAGAAGAAGAAGAAGAAGAAGAAGAAGAAGAAGAAGAAGAAGAAGAAGAAGAAGAAGAAGAAGAAGAAGAAGAAGAAGAAGAAGAAGAAGAAGAAGGTGGTTGGGAACCACCGGTCTACAGAAACGAAAGTTGTCAAATTTCCAAGTTGCTACAGGAAACTATTCTGTCCCATTGTAAGTCTCTAAACAGGAACTCTATCCACATATTGCAGTAGTTCTCAACCTTCCTAATGCCACGACTCCTTATGTTGTGGTGACCCCCAAACATAAAATTATTTTCATTGCTACTTCATAACTATAATTTTGCTGTTGTTATGAATTGTAATGTAAATATCCGTTATGCAGGATGAAGTTTCATTCACTGGGCCAAATTTGGCACAAATCCCCGATACGCCCAAATTTGAATACTGGTGGGCTTGGGAGAGATTGATTTTATCATTTGGGAGCTGTTGTTGCTGGGATTTCTAGTTCACCTACAATCAAAGAGCATTCTGAACTCCACCAATGATGGAATTGAAGGAAACTTGGCATACAGAACTCCCATGACCAACAGAAAATACTGGAAGGGTTTGGTGAGCATTGACCTTGAGTTTGAGAGATGTAGTTCACCTACATCCAGAGAGCACTGTGGAGTCAAACAATGATAGATCTGAACATACACAATATGCCCAAATGTGAACACTGGTGGAGTTTGGGGAAAACCTTGACATTTGGGAGTCGTAGTTAGTTGCTGGGATTTATAGTTCACCTACAATCAAAGAGCATTCTGAACCCCACCAAGGGTAGAATCGGGTCAAACTTCCCACACAGAGACCCCCATGACTAACAGAAAATACGGGATAGATTTGGGGGAATTGACAATGTTTTGGGGGAGTTGTAATTCACCTACATCCAGAGAGCACTGTGAACCCAAACGACTATGCCAAAGGTATTCCTAAGACCATCAGAAATATGTGTTTTCTGAGGGTCTTTGGTGACCCCTTTCTTCTTCATTATAACTTGGGAACCCAGCCTGTTTCCTCCAAAGTAATTTTCTGGGTGGGATTTCACCCCTGTGCGAAATTCGACGCTACAGAACATTGCAGTTTGGCGCCACCAGAATCGTGGGTGTTGTGGTTTAATGGCACACCAGAAATGGCCCCTTGGGCAGAGAAGGCGAGGCTCCCAGGTCTTGGAGGGGCGCCTCCGGCTTCTCTCTCCCCCTCCAGGCCTCTTTCGTGCTGCCTTCGCGCCCCGCCTCTTGCCCTCGTCCGCCGCCCTTCGCCTGGGAGGCTCCTTATCCCCCGCCCGAAGGGAGGCTGAGCATGCAAGGCGAGCCTTGGGGGCTGCGGAGGTGCTTCTTTCCGACACCGGGGAGGGAACGGGCAAACTACAACTGGCAGAACTGGACATTAGGAAAAGCTTCTTGACGGTGAGAGTTGTTTGGCAGGGGGGCGGGCCCTCCTCTGGAGGTTTTAAAGCAACATTGGCATGGCGGTGTGTTCTTTCCTGGCCAGGGGCTGGGCTGGCTGGCTGCCCCTTTGGGCCTTCTCCCACTCTCGGATCCTATGACTCCTCAGGAAACCTCTCCCGCGGGTTTGATCCTAAATTTCTTTCTAGCTAGTTTCGCCGAGGGAAGCTACTCAATCGGGGCATTACTGCCACCGTGGAGCCCCCGGTGGCGCAGTGGGTTAGACTCCTGTGCCGGCAGGACTGAAGACCAACAGGTCGCAGGTTCGAATTCGGGGAGAGCGCGGATGAGCTCCCTCTATCAGCTCCAGCTCCTCATGCGGAGAGATGAGAGAAGCCTCCTACAAGGATGGTAAAAACATCAAAACATCCGAGCATCTCCTGGGTAACGTCCTTGTAGACGGCCAATTCTCTCAGACCAGAAGCGACTTACAGTTTCTCAAGTCGCTCCAGACAGGACAAAGAAGAAAAGCTGCCAATATAGGGTTAACATCACTCCCCCGCCCCTCCACCTCGACTTGTGTTTCTTTCCTGGATTAAAAGGGTTGTAGACCCCGCCTGGTGGGAAGGAGAGACCCTGGAGAATGTATGCAATTTGACACCACTGTCCATGCCTTGGCTTGATGCAGCAGGGTCCTGGTAACTGTAGTTTGTTGATGCAGACACTCCCTATGTCAGAGTAGAGGAAAGGCCTTGTAAAACTACATGACCTATGATTCCATAGTACTTTACTTACTTAGGCAATCCCTCATAGCTCAAGGATGATTGTCTTCCAGATATGGTGTTCTGGCAGTGTGTCCGTAGGTCGCTGTGGAGCACTATTCTTGATCTGCATGTTCTCCCGCAGTGAGGACATCGGTTTCCAGACGGAAGGAAACCAGTCAATCTTGGCTTGACATGCCTTCCTCTTGGCACGGTTCTCCCTTTTGCCCTCCATTTGTGCCTCTTCAAGTTCTGAAGCACTGCTGGTCACAGCTGACCTCCAGTTAGAGTGCTCAAGAGCCAAGGCTTCCCACGTCTTGGTGTCAATGCCACCGTTTTTGAGGTTGGCTGTAAGCCCATCTTTAAATCCCTTTTCCTATCCACCGACATTCTGTTTCCTGTTCTTGAGTTCAGAGTAGAGTAACTGCTTTGGGAGACAATGATCGGGCATTCAGACAGTGTGGCCTGTCCAACAAAGTTGATGGCAGAAGAGCATCGCTTCAGTGCTAGTGGTCTTTGCTTCTTCCAGCACATTTTCTGCCTGCCTTCCCAAGAGAGTTGCAGGATTTTTTGGAGGCAGCGCTGATGAAATTGTTCCAGCAGTTGTGTATGATGTGTGTAGACAGTTCACGTTTCACAGGTGTTCAGCAGGGTTTGGAGGACAATGGCTTTATAAACAAGCACCTTGGTATCCCTGTGGATATCCCAGTGCTCAAACACTCTTTGCTTCATTTGGAAAAATGCTGCACTTGCAGAGCTCAGGTGATGTTATATTTCAGTGTCAATGTTGACTCTTGTGAAGAGGTGGCTGCCAAGGTGGCAGAAATGTTATGGTACTCCATAATATTGAGCAGTTGAACTGGCGCCAGAAGGCATTCTACCAATCTGCTACCAAGCATTATTTAAAGTGCTGGCTTTAGTCTATACAATAAAGCCCTAAACCAGTGGTTCTCAACCTTATTTGCTACATTTATATACCACCCCTCTTAGCCCGGAGGGGACTCAGGGCTTCCTGATGCTGCGACCCTGTAATACAGTTCCTCATGTTGTGGTGACCCCCAACCATAACAGTAGTTTTGTTGCTGCTTCATAACTGTAAATTTGCTACTGTTATGAATCGTCATGTTAATTTCTGATATGCAGAATGTATTTTCATTCCCTGGACCAAATTTGGTACAAATACCCAATACGCCCAAATTTGAATGCTGGTGAGGTTGGAGGGGATGCTTTTGTCATTTGGGAGTTCCAGTTGCTGGGATTTATAGTTCACCTACAATCAAAGAGCATTCTGAACTTCACCAACGATGGAATTAAACCAAACTTGGCTCCCAGAATGCCAATGACCAACAGAAAATTTTGGAAGAGTTTTGGCTCAAATATTGAGTATTTGTGCCAAGTTTGGATTTGGACCAAACTTGGCACAAATACTCACAATACAATACAATTCTTTATTGATTAGTCAATTTTGACCATATCAAAACATACAAAACATACACATACAGTAAAACCATATATGAATACGAGGCATCATGGCCTACTGGCCTGTCAACCCACTCCTAAATAATTGAGCAACTACGAGATAAAAAGGTTAAAAGATTAAAATTGTTTAATTCCTTAAAATAGGGTTAGAGTGGGGGGCATGGGTAGGTAAAACTAGTGGCGTGTCCATATTAAGTTTTTAAGTTTGAGTTTTGTTGATGGCAGCAAGGTCGCCTCTCTCTGCTTCCATCTTCTCATGGATGGCCAGCGCTTTTTGGATAAAAAGGGTCAATTTTAAAATAGAGTTTTTATTTGAACCCTGAAGGAGGATGTGCAATTTCTCCTTATTCTCTGAATAAGTATGATTCTCCAGCAGAGGCTCTAGGTAGTAAGACCGGATCCTGTTGTAGTAGGGACATTTTAAGAAAAAATGTTCTGAGTCCTCCACTTCTGCATCTACCTCACGGCACCCACAGGTTCTCCTCGTGTAGGGGATATTCTGATGTCGTCCCAACTTGGACTTAATGTCGAGCTGCTCAAATCTAGCCCGGGTAAAATGTTTTCTAATATAAAGTGGAAGTATAAAAGAGAGGTAATGTTCCATGCCCACATTACATTTAAATTTGGCCAGGTATGGAGTGGCTCTAGCTTGCGCTATGTTCATTAGATCATTTTGTGCAGCAATGTCGAGAGCTCTTTGGTATACAATTCAGCACACCTTTGCCCCAAAATTTGTTAACTCGTGAGGGGCAAAACCTAACCTACTAACTGTGTGGCCAAATCTGCTAAGCCAAGATGACCACTCTTTGTGGTTTTCTTGTTCTAGAAGGCATAGGGCTGGGAGTCTGTGTGGTTGCATTTGTCTTATTTTGTACCACCAATTGATCTGCCTCTTCAGAATTGTGGTGGAGATTGGGGGTACTCCCGTCTCTGCTCTCACTGCAGCTGACAGGGATGATCTCTCCACACCTAAGCCAATTTTCAGGTGGCGCAGTTGGAATCTCTCTACCAATAAAGGGTCTTGCTCACCCCATATTTCAGCTCCATACAAAGCGATGGGGAACACCTTTGCCTTAAGAACCTTCAGAAAGGGGCGCAGAGAGCCCGGGTAATTGTGGTTGCATAATTTATGAATTGCCTGTGCAGCATTATCAGCTTTTGCAATACTTAGTTTTAGATGTTGGGTCCATGCCCCTGATGCCGCAAAATGAAGACCTAAGTATTTAAATGTCCTCACTTGCTCCACTTTGTGCCCGTCAAGGTGCCAGTTGGAAGCCTTAGCTTTCTTACCAAAAACCATTATTTTGGATTTTTCTTTATTTATAGTGAGGGCATTTTCAGTACAATATTGGCTAAGTTTTTGCAAGGACCTCCTTAACCCGACTGGGGTAGTGGATAACAATACTATGTCATCTGCGTATATCAAGATATTTGTCTCCCTATCCATAATCTTTGGACTGTGAGATTCTTTCATATTTAAATATTCCACAATATCATTAATATAAAGGGGGTTGATTTTGTCATTTGGGAGTTGTAACTGCTGGGATTTATAGTTAACCTACAATCAAAGAGCACTCTGAACCCAGCCCACAATGGATCTACACCAAATTTGGCACACTACCTACATGTCCATCATTGAATAATGATGGGGTTGGAGGGGTGTTTTTGAATTCTGAGAGTTGTAGTTCATCAACACCAAAAAGAAAGAGAAGGACACTGGAGAGATCTTCAACCTTTTCTGCCAAACGGGTTCCTAAGACCATCAGAAATATGTATTTTCTGATGGTCTTTGGCAACCCCTCTGAAACCCCTCTCATGCCCCCTCAAGGGTTCCTTCTGTCAGTTCCAGCTCCTTCTGTCAGTTCCAGCTCCCCATGCAGGGACATGAGAGAAGCCTCCCACAAGGATGGTAAAACATCAAAACACCCAGGCATTCCCTGGGCAACGTCCTTGCAGACGGCCAATTCTCTCATACCAGAAGCGACTTGCAGTTTCTCAAGTCGCTCCTGACACAACAAAAAAACAACCTCTAATATGTATATCAGTAGTTCATAAACATGTGAAAGTTTCCCTAATGCCATTGGAAGGGGACAGATATGGATGACTTTGGCTGGAATCCTGTTGAAGTGGACTTATCAACCACCCCCACCAAATCTGGTCTCTTCATGAGGGCCTTCAAATCAACCCCCCCCCCCCCCCCCCCCCGGGTGCCTTAGGCATTTCCTGCCAGTTATGGGTGGGCCAACTTGGTTGCTTCCACTATATTGGCTATTGTTGCAAGTAATGACAGTGTGATTAAATTGCCAAAATTTGCTTGAGATGGTGCTTGCAGTTCTGGAGGGACTCATTTAATTATTGCTTCTCGTAGACTTAGCATGGGGATTTGGTTAACCAGTTAAAATTCATGAGTAAAATTTTCAAGGGGGGGGGGTTGAACCCCTCCCACCCCTTGGCTACAGCCTTTTCCAAAAGGCATTCATTCTACAGCAGGCATGGGCAAACTTGGGCCCTCCAGGTATTTTGAATAACCAGTAGGCTGTTAGGAATTGTGGCGTTAAAATCCAAAACACCTGAAGGGCTCAAGTTTGCCCATGCCTGTTCTACAGTGTAGTTGCCTCTTTTCATAATCTGGAATGTATCTAAATAATTATCTGAATTAAAACAACAACTGGATCTGGGAAGCCAACTTGATAGCAGTCAATAACAACGTTGCCATTTTCAGCACTTGGCAGATTTTAGAATAAAAACAAGTTCACAAGGAAGGTTCTTTGGACATACATTTATTATTCGATCTCACCAAAGCAAAGTAAAAGCTAGTTCTAACTGTTTCCCGCCAAAGCTGTGGTATTTCACCTATCCACCCCATAACCCCTCTTTCTTATCTATCCTAACAGTTACATTCCATTCCCACAGAACATGCAGCATCTCCCAGGTCCCCCCCCCCCCCCACTTTGTCCAGATGGCCCTTATTGGCCTCCAGTAATTCACTTCCAAACTGTCATGGAGTGGACGGGCAGCTTTGTTGATTTATGCTTGAACAGACACATCCTGACAGCCGTGAAATTAGCAATGCACTGTTCCTGCTCCTGTTTTCTCTGGCCCCTTCTACACTGCCATACAATCCAGATTATCAAAGCAGACAATCAAAGCAGATGATCTGGATTTTAGATGGCAGTGTAAAAGAGGCCTCTTTCTCCTCTTCTTGATATCTGTCATATCACTTACCAGTTTCTGCTTCTATTGTTGAAAAATGCCAAACAGTGAAATTTTTTGATGTGGGTGGCAAGAGAGTTGCAAAAGTGATTATTCAATTAAACATAGTCAATGAAAATGCGAACACCCCCTTCCCTCTATTTACAGGAACATTTATTTCAATTACATGGAAATAAACTGGTGAAATGATACTTCACACTTAGTTCCGGTATAATGTTTATGCTTCTCGGGCGACTTCTACACTGCCATATAAAATCCCAATTATCTGCTTTGAACTGAATTATATGGCAGTATAGACCATATAATTCACTTTAAAGCAGATAATGTAGATTATCTGTTTTGATAATCTGGATTATATGGCAGTGTAGAAGGGCCCCAAATTCAGAGGCTTGTTCTCATAAATGGTTGTTTTTGTAGTCCCTAGAGCCCCTTCTACACTGCCATATAATACAGATCATCAAATCAGATAATCCACATTATCTGCTTTGAACTGGATTATATGAGTTTACACTGCCATATAATCCAGTTCAAAGCAGATAATCTGGATTTTGTATAGCAGTGCAGAAGGGGACCCAGGGGCCTTCCAGACAGCCATATAATGAAATATCAAGGTAGAAAATCCTACAATATCTGCTTTGACCTGGGGGCCCTTCCACACAGCCATATAACCCAGAATATCAAGGTGGGAAATCTGCTTTGACCTGGGTTATCTGAGTCCACACTGCCATATATTCCAGTTCAAAGCAGAAAATGTGGGATTTTATTCAGCTGTCTGGAAGGAGCCTGAGTCTGGCAATGTCAGGCTCAATGGCTACAGTTCAGTCAGTGCTACATCTTCTACCAAATACAGGCAATATATTTTATGTCCCTTTTCTGAGCCAACAGTGTAGAATGATGGTCAGTACCGTTGTTTTCAACCACTTTATCTTAATGGACTTCTTAAAAAAGGCATGTTTCTCAAAGTATAATGGTAATAGTCCAATTTTTCAAATCTTTGTTCTCAGAAACAAGATGTCCCTTGGCTTGTCTGCTTTAAAATCAAACCTTGGCTTCTTTGCAAGGGAGATGCATGTGATACTGTACTGTACTGAATCAAACACATTTGTTTGATTTACAATAATGGACCAAAGTGCCTTGGAACCTCTGGGAACACATGTTTCAAAAGCAAATCACTCCATGTTGGTGACATGCAATTCAGAAACAGGAGTGCCCTGGATGTAGTCCTTTTGTGTGCAGATTAAAATGTCATTGGCCCTCTGATGGGCTGCAAATTCAATACAACCAGTGGAATAAAATCTTCAGAGGGAAGTTTAGCAAACAAACAGTTACGTGCTCTGACAATTCCAACTTTTTAAACTTTTTGTCAGAGACTTCATAGAGGAGATGGAAAAATTTGGGATCATTCACAGAAAACATGACCATATTGTAACATATATTCTAATAAACAAAGTTTAAGATTTCAGTACTGGAACACAAGATCTTTAATGTCTGAAGACTATATTTACCTCATTTTTTTCTTTGCCACTTATCTACTTAGCTTGTTGGGATATCCTTTTCTTGTTCCACAAGCTCCCTGAACTTAACTAGAAAAACACTAGAAGATGTAATTAAAATTAAGGTGTGTAGCCAAATTTGGTATTTTAGGCACATATTTATAATCCAGTTTATAACATACTATTGTTGTTGCTCAATATGTTGCTGGTTCCTCTTTTATATGTAGTTTTTTTTTACTGTTTTATACTTTTTTTTGTCATGTCAGGAGCGACCTGAGAAACTGCAGGTCGCTTCTGGTGTGAGAGAATTGGCTGTCTGCAAGGACGTTGCCCAGGGGACGCCCGGATGATTTATGTTTTACCATCCTTGTGGGAGGCTTCTCTCATGTCCCCACATGAGGAGCTGAAGCTGATAGAGGGAGCTCATCTGCCTCTCCCCAGATTCGAACCTGGGACCTGTCGGTCTTCAGTCCTGCCGGCACAGGGGTTTAACCCACTGCACCACCGGGGGCTCCACTGTTTTATACTGCATTTTATTGTACTTCTGTACTGTTCACCACATTGGTAAACATGTTTTGTAACTGATGTATACATTAATATAGATCAGTGGTTTTCAACCTGTGAGTCTCCAGATGTTTTGGCCTTCAATTCCCAGAAATCCTGACAGCTGGTAAACTTGCTGGGATTTCTGGGAGCTGTAGACCAAAACCCCTGGTTAAGAACTACTGGACTAGATGAATAAATAAATACATATTTTTATTTTTATTTTCAGAAACAAGAGAAAATAAGACAAAGAAAATGGATTGTGAGTAACATTATATTTTTCTGTATCAGTTGTATACATTGTTTCCCCAGGGATCATCGGTAAAGGATTTCTTGCTTGTCCAACTTACTTTGGCTTTATTGTTCGTCTGAAACAAAAAGGTGCTTATTGTCGAAGGCTTTCATGGCTGGAATAATTGGGTTGTTGTAGGTTTTTCAGGCTACATGGCCATGTTCTAGAAGCATTCCCTCCTGATGTTTTGCCTGCATCTATGGCAAGCATCCTCAGAGGTTGTGAGGTCCTCACATCCTCTGAGGATGCTTGCCATAGATGCAGGTGAAATGTCAGGAGAGAATGCTTCTAGAACATGGACCTCACAACCTCTGAGGATGCTTGCCATAAGATGCAGGTGAAACGTCAGGAAGGAATGCTTCTAGAACATGGCCATATAGCCCGAAAAACCTACAACAACCCAAAAAGGTGCTTAGCTTTAGTCTCAAGAGTCAACATGGCTGTAACAATTTGAGCATTGGATTCTGGAGAACAAAGTTTAATTCTTCACTTAGTCATAGAAACCTTGGATGAGTCACACCCTCCTAGCCTCAGAAAACCCCATGATAGACTCTCCTAAAGCTCACCAGACAGAAATGACTTGAAGGCATCAACAACAACAACAAGGAGCAGCAGTAGTTCCTCTAGTCTTCCCTGTAGAAGCAGCAGTTATATATGTCTGTGTCTCTCCTGATGGTGTTAAGAGTATGATTTCCATTATTGCTTGAGGGCACAGTCAATGGTGAGAACCCTCTGAAGCTGTGGTCCAGCGGCATATGAAAAGCTACACTTTCCCAGTTCCTGGCACAGTATGATAAAGCCCATCTGAACATCACAAAATTGTAGAGATCGACTTAATAGAGTGACACATGTTTCTTGGTGACAGATGTCCCAGGTCCCTGTCCAATAGGGTTCTTCAATCAATTAGCCTGCTTACCCTTTGCTTTCTTTTTATTGCTATTTTTCTATCCATTTATTTATATCCTAACACTGCAGTGCTATGCACCCTTATCTTAGATTCGCACCATCAAACTCAGTAGTACTCCCATTAAAATAAACATGAGCAGGATTGCATTATACCAGGAATTATACTTTTGCCTAACCCAGTAATCTCCAGTTGCCTTGGGCTACAGTTAACATAATCTCAAATTGGTGTGTCGCCAAGTTGGACTTCCCTAGTTTGTTACTCATAGTATTTGTAGGGGTAGTAGAAAGAGAGGAACAGTGTGAAATCATCTCCTAGAATTAAAATCAATGGCTTGTCTGGACTCCCTTTTTAATACTTCTGATCAGTGAGCTAAGTGTATGAAATATGTGTTAATTCCAGTGTCACTAATGCTGAACTCTTTTAACTGATCAAGTAGCACAGAATTAAGATTTGGTGGTATACATCTACACTGAAAATGGCTATCCACATAACTCAGAACATCCCCATATGCACAGAATGACTTTTGAGTTCCATCCATTTCAGTGGGTCTATTCTAGTTATGGCAAATGTTTTATTTAACCTTAAGGGGACACCTGATGTTTAAGGATAATACATCATTCTTCTATTCTTTCAGCCAACAAATCTGCACCTGAACCACCACCTCCAGCATATTCAGGACCAGCGCCACCATATCCAGCTCCCCCTAACCAACAGGGATTTCCACCGGCATCATCGTATCCAACTCCCCCAAACCAACCAGGATTTCCACTGTATTCATCTAATGTAACTTCATATATATCAGGATCTGCTATTCCAGGTAGGCAGTTGGAAGGAGGGGGATATATAGGATTTCTAATTTAATAAGAGAAGCACAGATTTATGAGGATCTGGGACTAGGCTTGTGCATTTTGGCTGAACCTCAGTTCATTCCTGCAGGCAGGATACCAGTGGACCCTAAAAATGGATGGGTAGCCAGATAGCTGTTTTCAGTCCTTAGCCAAAAAATACAGCTACATTGGTGGCAATGGGGAACTTACAAGGCTTTCCATTCCTGGGACCCTTTCCTTTTTTCCCTTCAAGGGAGCCTGGGTTTCAGCAATGTGGTTAAGGAAGCACCCTTCTTAGGAGCCTTTCCTTTTTCACTTCAAGGGGGTCTGGGTATCAGCAACAAGGTTAAAGAAGCACCCTTCCTGGGAGCCTTTCCTTTTTTCCTTCGAGGGAGCCTGGGTATCAGCAACAGGGTTAAGGAATTTTCCTATCCAGCCCATTATGGGGGGAATTCCCACAGACTCCTCTTCCATATCCTTCATTAAGACCTGGATTAAAAGCATCAGAGTTAAGATACCACTCTTTCTGCAATCCTTTCTCTTCTGATGACCGGGTTTAATATTTCTTAAAGTTTTTTCTACTTTAGAGGAGAGGCACTGCAGGCGTGCACACTTTCTTTTCCTGCAACATGCCACACAGCTTTCCAAGGCATTGTAAGAAAGACCAGGGAAGGAAGAGCAACAACCTGGAGCTGTCCTCCCTGAGCTTCCTTTAAAAACCACTCCCTTTTCTCTACTGCAGGCTTCAATCTCCTTTCTGATTTCTGCTTCGGGTTTAATGCTTCCTTAAAGCTGTTTCTACTTTCTACACTAGAGGAGAGGTAACTAGAAGATAATAGTTTTCAAATAATGAGGGTTTCCTTTTTGTTTGCAGGGATTAATAATTATTACTATCATTTAGAAGTATTTGAAAGAGAGGAAGGAAAGGAGAAAAAAGTTAAAAGGGTGACTCTTACAAGCCCCCAAATGCACACGTGCACCTCACCCACCTGTCCTGCATGACCCCAACTCCCAGTCAGTCCCACTAAATAAAAAGAATCAAGAAAATAAAGGAAAATAGGGGAGGAGGAGCTGAGTTTGGCTGCCATATGATCCTGTTATGAACGGGAATCCGTGATGGCTGGGCCTTGCCGCTATGGGCACCCAAATGAACTGAAGAAGCCAGATTGGCTGAAGGAAACAGCTAAAAACAGATCCGTGCTCAAGCCTATCTGGGACTGATAAACAGAAATTTCCAGCAACATTTATTTCATTTCCACAACATTTATTTCACCCTAGCCAGCCCCTGCCATGCATTACTGTGGCCCCAGTCTGTTTATGTACGTTTGTGTGCATGTGTGTGTGTGTGTGTGTATACACACACACACACACACACACACACACACACATATATATGGTTTTGTACAAGCATTATAATTTTTGTTTTTTGGCTTTTTAAGTCTCTTCTGCTGTGTTTGTCAGTCTTTTTATGAGTGATTAGCCATCCCCTGCCACGCGTTGCTGTAGCTCAGTCTGTGTATATGTGCTTCATGTGTGTATATGTGTGTATATATTTGTTTATATGTGTGTGTGGTTTTGTGCATGCATTGTAATGTAGGGGTTTTTTTGGCTTTTAAGTAACTTTTGCTGTGTTTTTCAGTCTTTTTATGAATGTTGGTCACTCGTTGGCCTGATACGTGTACTGTGTCCAAATGTGGTATCAATTAGTCCAGTGGTTTTTGAGTTATGTTAATCCCCCAAATGAACATTACATTTTTATTTATATAGATTTTGTACAAACAGTAGCTCATGTTTTTATAACATACACATCTGCTGCATAACAGAATAAAATCCATTACTTTATTTTTGCAGGGTTTTCTGAGCTATAGTTTTATATATATGCCCTCTAGTGGATCTTTCAGCCTTTCTTGAAATACTAGAACTTTGTAAATGTTTGTGTGGTTGTCTGTGTGTGTGTGTGTGTGTGTGTGTAGGCTGAAATGGGCCTATTGTTTCTCCTTTTCTGCATTTGCTTTAAATCTTCTGCAAATTTAATGGGGTAGTTTGAAATACAGAAATAATGTGCACAAATGTTCAGAAAAGGGGCTTCTTTCTATATGTACATGTAAAACATTTATGTTACATTTTATCCGGTCAACTCTTCAAGCCCGATATCAACCTTGCAACAGTTCTAGAAATACATGAATGAAACTGAAAAATGCTAGCTTGCTTAAATACACATTAAGTAAATCCATATTCTTAAAGCAAAATCCTCATTACCTAAACCAAAGATAGACAACCCTTGTCCTCAAGATATTGTTGAACTGTAGATTCCATAATCTCACACAATTGTCTGTTCTTTAATGCTGCTCAAATTGCCACTAAAGCATATAGTTTTTATAGACATGTTGTAGTTAAACAAAACTGAAACCAAAGTATACCACATGGACATTTGACAGCATAGTCCTTCAATTATGTTTCTTCATTATGAACCAATCAGAACAACACAATTTAAGAAAATGAATGGTGTATTCTTAAAGCCTGGATATAAGTACCGTACATGATAATATATGATAGGCTGTAGGTTGATAGGCTGTAGGTTACTGCACTGTACTATAATGTCTGCACTTTAGAAATATAAATTAATATATGGAGATGGCTGTGGAAAAGTATGGTTTCCTCCATGGGTTACTGTTAGACATTTAGCATATTCTAATTTGAATATATTATAATCTAAATATATTATATTTGATATGTGTGTGTGTGTGTAATTCCTCAACAGGTGATTAAGATAGTGTTATGTAAAATGCTAAATTCCTTACCAGTATAAGACATAAGCCTAGACTCTAAAATGGAGCACCTCTTGGAAATCATCTCTGGAGGGCTTTCCAGTCTTTGAGAGCAAGTATTTGGGATTGAAGTCACAAGTAAAGATTGAGACCATTCTTCTGATGGAAGCCACTAGACTCTGGCCCCTGCTTCATAAGAATATCATCTAACATTAATTTGGCTCTTCTGATCACTTTTACTTCCTGTTCTGTAACAGAAGAATAGTGAATTCAAAAACATCTTTGTATTCAATATGCAAAGAGATTTGGCAGCACTTTAGAGGCTAACAGATAGAATGAAGTTGGTATCATACACTTTTCTAAATGCATCTGAGGAAGTAGATTGAGTTTAGTTAGTCTCTTTCTTAGTTAGTCTCTAAGGTGCTGCAAGATCCCTTTGCATACTGAAATGACACTTCATTCCTTATAAAGATGAAGTAGTACAGTTATTGACTCTGAGCTACACATCAGGAATTTGGAAGGCTTTCAACAAGTACCTTTCAGCTTTATTCTTCCCATCTGCACTCTGGGAAAATAGGAGTACTGAATATCCTTATAGATTTGTTGTAAGGATGACATGGAATCCCTGGAAGACATGAAATTACTATTCAGGTGTCTCATCCTTGCTGTTCAGTGTTTCTTCCTGCAAAAAAAGTTTTTCTTATCCCCAGCCATTTTTTTCAGTGTGGGGAATAGTTGCTCTAGATTGTATCAGTACAGTACTTTATATGTTCTTATCTAAAGCTTACAGTGAAGTGACAGGGTAGCGATACATGGTGAAGTGTTGACCTTAAGCTATAAAACAGACCTTAATAAGACTCCCAGTGAGCTGTGTTCAGTAATGATTCTTTGGTCATATATATCAGAATCACTTCCTCACATTTGTTATGTGTTCTCTCTCTCCCCTTCTCCTTCTCCTCTGGATAGCACAAAGCAGTACACCTTTCCGAGGTCCCCCAGTAGCATATGGAGCCATTCCATATCAAAATCAGCCTACTGTTGCTCCAGCTATAACTTGGATGCCAACTCCACCTATACCTCCCAAATGCCCTCCTGGCTTGGAATATTTAACTCAGGTATCTTCTTTTTTCATGTCTTTTTCTTCTTGGATAAAGAAATATAGAAAGAATATGCAGTGTAACTCTATACAAATCTAATCAGAATAAAGTTATATTGAATGCAGTGAGACTTTTCCCCAAGTTTGTAAGACCTGAGCAAGGCTACTGATGAAAGTGTGACTTGGATGTCTCTTGTTCATGGGATTGCTGTAAGTTGACTTGACAGCTATTAACCACAACCACAACAGTGTGTGTATAGGCTCAACATAAAAATCAAGACAATATTTTAGCAGTGGAAACAGCAAAGAAGTTACCTCCCATGAACCAACTGTGGTCATGTAAATGTTTATATCTTTGTTGGTTCCTGAAGCTCTCACTGAAAAATGATTAAATTGATTTATAGAATAACTTTTTGGCTACAGACTTATTACAGCAACAAATAAATTAAGTATTGTAACTCTAACAGCTTAATTGTCCTTTCACCTGGAGTGGAAACCCTCAAAACTGGAAAATTACCACCCTCATCTTCTGCCCTGAAGATGATTAATGAAGAGTGGAAACTTGGGACCATGGTCTGGCAAGCCTATTGGATAGTCTTGGGCAAGTCACACTCAGTATACAAGAAAGGAAGCACCAAGCCTCTTTTGAATAACTCTTGTCAAGAAAATCTGATTTTTAGACCCAAAGCTATATAAGAACAACAAATTATAGTGTATTCAAACAGTCTGTTTAATGGAACCTGCAGATACTTTGTTGTTGTTCTTAGTATGTCTTTAAGTCAGTGTTTCTCAAACTGTGTTC